CTTCGGCATTCTAGGCTCATGTCCAAAACCAAAGCATTTTTTAAGTTCCAAATTGCGCCATTGCCGACTAACTCTTCTGAATCCGCGATACCTGTCCTGGGGTGATGGGTGAGACAACATTCAAGTATATCAACCAAAGCAATGTGTACCGGAACCGACTTGGGGAAAGCCAGAGAAGTCAGGTGCTGCAGCTTGAGATAGTATTGATATGCGGAAGTTTTGCAGGTAAGATTGGACAACCGAAAATCATCCAGTACCTTGAAAGTGAACAGTGTTTTAACATTTTGAAAGCTTGTTGGAAATAACTATGAAGTCAACAGCTGCTCATCGGTGGGTGCAGCTCCTGGACAGGTGCATAAATGCAAAGGAAGATGGTGAATTCCGTTTGTTTCAATCACAAGCACAAAGGGGTTGCCCAGAGAATCCTCTGTGTCAGGTTGAGGAGCTGTACCGAAACCCTTTGTTCTTTTGTATTGTTCCTGAGTGTTGTTGTCAGCTTCTTCTTCGGTTGCGCCATTGTCTCCATCCTGATCGGATGGTTCAGTCTCGATGTCTTCGCCATCATCGCCGACATCTGCATCAGCCTCCATGGACTCATCTTCCCTGAGAAGGTCATCAGACACTGCTTGAACTCGAATATCAAGATCAATTGGGATGGGTGCGGGTGCCGCCCATGTTTGGCCAACAGGGCTGGTGGGCGCCGCTGGTCCTGCGGCTTCTGCAGCCTCACAACTTGCATCCTGCCTCTCATTTTCTTGTTCCTCAAACTCCGCAAAGTTGGGACAAGGGGATCCATTATGGCCCAAATTCAACACCAAGCCTGTCTCCCAGAGACCGGCGGTACGGAAATAGCGGCCATTCCAGTATTGGACCCAATGGGTATGAAGCCTCCTATGAGTCTGGCGGCAACAGGCGCGACAATATACAGGCTGCAAGGCGCAATTGAGGCATCGGAACTTGGATGCCATTTTGCCGCAATCTACACAGACCATCCCAGGAGGTGGGGCCTCTGTGACAAGAGTTACCTCAAGATGCTTGTCCCTGCGGGCAACCCATTCTCTCAGATAATCGTTCTGGCTCTGGGATCACTGATAAGCAGAAGTTGGAAAGAACAGAGAGATCCACCCACCTTGCCTGACGTTCTCTGGTGAAAAGGGACAGCAAACTCATCAATGACCATTGTGTCTACATCGTGATCGAATTGGGCTTGCTGGCTATGCTGAGCTGGTGCTGACGGTGCATGCAACAGGGAATCAGGAGTAAAGTATTTGATCTTCTGGACGTATCCCCTGGTTGTCTTCTCGTATTTCCCTGTATAGAATACAGGTCCAGGAGGCCGTTTGGATTGGTATCTATGCATGGTGACTAGTGGATGTGTTTATGAGGCAAAGTAATGGTCAAAGTAAGGACGGTGAGGCAATTGCCATGCGCCGAACACATGGCACAGGCACCATCAGCACATGGCTGCCTGCATAATGCACCCTTGATGCAGGGCACATCAAAATGCAGGGCACCTGTCAAACAAATAATTGGGCACAATTGCATAAAAGGTATGGCACACATAAAAACGCATGATCATTCAGGGCATTCAGTAGATACGCTATGGAACCATAACAATAGAAATTGACAATTGTCCCAATAAGTCATAGGGCTACCCCAATGGGCCCAATTACAAAAGACATTATGATACTATACATTGGCCCAACAACATGACAATATGT